TCATACCCCTTTTCATCGAGCCCGCATGGGCTGGTAGTGGTTTCGACCATAGCAATGGAAACTATTTCAATTGAGACCGTCTTTTGTAGTCTGTACAAAACGCATAAGACTTCAAATGTCGTACCAGAAGACAAACAATCCAATACGATTTAAAGCAATGCTAGACGAAATGCCATTCATTCAATTAACTATTCGGTCATGACACGGGGCAAATGAATACAGTACGGCATGCATACTTAGTGAAGAAAGCGATGATCAATTGTAATGTGACACCGCCAGGCACACATAAGCTCGATGGTGCCCAACTAATACAGCCACTGATATCATTGCGGCTTCGTCTACAGTACACGGGCATATGCATGTCTGCACACCCCCGGTCAGATAGAGGAACAATTCATTCTCCGAAATGAGGTTGATTTGTGTAACATATTGAAGAGATATATATTTTGGATTATCTATCCTATCATTTTTATGGGGGAGTTAATACCTTGTACCGACCTTGCTGTGCATATTGAATATGTGATGCATCCATCCTCTTGGCTTATTTGGGTGCTAGTTAGTATGGATATATATTTCAACTCATTATGAAGCCTCGCCCAAGTCAATAAAGTTTATTCATACGTTGTTGGTTATTTAAAACACATGATTAAATGAACTTATATGTCTACCGATCCATGTCCTCAGTGTGCTGATCAGTGGCCGTGCTGCCAATGGGCAGGGAGGGGATGAAGATAACGTAAATAAGGGTGTGTTGATTCAGAGGCGGGCAGGATGGCATTGATAGCTCACTATGGTAGAGTAGCTTCTTCATCTGCACGATCTAGTTCTAGTTTACTCAGACATGACAGCTTGCTTTTTACTCTGCGGCATCCAGGGCGACAGAAAAAGACTCATACACATAGTCATCCCTGCTTCAAGTACAACGATTCGCAAAGTATTACCGGAAAAGTGTACGAGAGATTATCTTCGAAATCACATCTAGTGAGAATCAAAACGCCACATGGCACATATACGGGGAGTGATCAATAGGAAAGGTGAAAAGCCAGGTTAGGGATCAGCAGGGATGCCCTTATTGAAGTCCTGATAAGGAACTGATTTGAAGAACTTCTGTGTGTGTATGTGTGTTGGGCTGGGAGAGTGCGCGCAAGGGGACTCTTTGGGTAGTTAAGAGGCAAAGTAGACAAAATAACAAGGACAATGAAAAAAACGAAAAGAGGAGACAGGATGGATGTCCCCCAGGGCAGAGAACACAAGCGCCGGGCCAAAGCAACAAAGCAAAAAGGCAAGTAGGTAAGTAGAGAGAAGATCCAAGGCAAAAATGGCCCAGAAAGCATCGACACCCAAAGGTCAAAATATTTCTCACACCAACCCTTGCGAGTCTCTGTGATACTATAAATCGACAATCGGGCCAATGAATCTCATCGTCGTTCCTCCTTCGTCTCCAATCTATGTCCTTGTACTATAAGACCCGTCGCGCGCTCTCTTTCTCTCGGTTGTTCCATCCGTCCTGAGGACGCGTGTCCATCAACAAGGTCTTTTTAGGTGTTAATCATTTACTCGGCGGCGGGCTTCTCTTCCTCGGCGGCCGGGGCCTCCTCCTTCTTCTCGGCAGGGGCAGCGCTCTCGGAAGTGGGCTCAGCCTCGGACGAGGTCCAGAGGGTCTGGTGGGAAATGAGTCAGCGTATGAACAAATTGAATCAGCAGATGATTTCGACACTTACCAGGTTGTCACGGAGGAGCTGCATGATGAGAGTGGAGTCCTTGTAGCTCTCCTCGCTCAGGGTGTCGAGCTCTGCAGAATAAGATATTAGCTTTGGGCCAACGCACGTGGCCAAATCTGCATTCAAACATACCAGCAATGGCATCGTCAAAGGCAAGCTTGGCGAGGTGGCAAGCCTGGTCGGGGGAGTTCAGGATTTCGTAGTAGAAGACTGAGAAGTTGAGGGCAAGTCCGAGACGAATGGGGTGAGTAGGGGCAAGGTCAGTGGAGGCGATCTCGGTGGCAGCCTTGTAGGCCTCCAGGGAGTGGTTGGCAGCACCCTTGCGGCGGTCGCCAATGGCGAACTCGGCAAGGTAGCGGTGGTAGTCACCCTTCATCTTGTGGTAGAAGACCTTGGACTCGCCGCTCTGGGCGGACTTGATGAGGTGCTCGTCCAGAACCTCGAGGATATCGTCGCAGATCTTGGCAAGCTCGGCCTCAATCTTTTGGCGGTACTCCTTGATGAGAGTGACCTGGGACTCGTTGCCCTTGGACTCCTCCTTCTGCTCAATAGAGGTGACGATTCTCCACGAGGCACGGCGGGCACCAATGACGTTCTTATAGGCGACAGACAGGAGATTGCGCTCCTCAACGGTGAGCTCAACGTCGGCCGAGGCAACGACCTTCATGTTCTCGACCATCTCTGCATCGCATTGTCAGGGATCCGTGGAACTAGACGATCTAGACTTGGAACAAACCAACCTTCATAGCGCTCGGCCTGCTCAGCGAGCTTGGCGAGGTAAACAGCGTCTTCGTGACCCATGGTGAATGTGTGTTTTCTACAATGCAAACTATGTTAGCCAAATTTTTGTTCTCATATATATTTTCTTGTCGGATTGATGATATTTGAGATGAGTGCTGAAAATCACGCCATCGTGACAGTGCCAGTAGTTGATGGCGAGGGGTAGATATCGACCCTCGACCCCCTCTCCAAATATATGGAAAGGGCCCAGTTGAGTTTCCAGTATCACGGAGAGCGTCTCTGAATCAGAATACTGGGACTAAAGAACCAAAGACCCAGATATTTGGCCGATCATGACGATCGTGGCGGTTACAGGGCCCTTGGGTCTTCCCGTGTGTCGTTGGGGGTATCGCAGGAAAGCGGTCGCGGCGACGGTTCAACAGATAAACAAGACGAGAACATGTGGTTTCCGTAACTTGTGACGCGATTCCATGGGGAGGGGTTTGAATTTGGGGAAATTGTAGTTTTCAGAGAATCTCTTTCCACCATGTTGATATGTGTGGATTTTGCGGTGATGACGGGGCATGGAAATAGGGCTAGGAAAGGGCAAATTCAACTGGGAAACAACAGGAAAACACTGACCTGGTTTGTGAAAAAGGAAAAGAAGGTAATAAGGAATAGCAAGATAGATGGAAGATGGAAGTGAGAGAGTAGGGAGTTGAGAGAGGAGGTAGGAGGAAAGGAGGGGGGCAGAAGGCGGTGTTGGGATTTACCTGAACAACCCACTCTTCTTCGGGCTTTGTGTTATAAAATATAAAAAAGGGATTACTTGAGTTCACTTGGACTTCTTTTTTTTTTTTTTAATTAACTAAAAATATAAAACGTACAAAATATCCAAGACTACATTGCTTTTTGCCATGTATATACATAAATCTTCTCTCATCGCTTCTGTGTGGTTCGGTGGGCCTCCTACAGCGTCATCCCCCATTCCGCATCCGCCAATCGCCCGGGGGTTCCTTACTTGCGCCTCAAGATTACAGGATATGTTCGAAGTCTAGAACAAATGGATACACAAGAGGTATACTATCAGACTATATCATTTTTAAAAAAGAAAGTCAAAAGAGTCAATAGATTGGTATTTTGATCCTGTGATCAAGTACATCGTATACCTCCTTGTAAGTGCAAGTGGAAAGTCGAATGAGAAGCCCACGACTTATCAGAAATTTTTGTTCACATGACTTAGACTCTGACATAAGCTGAAGTCCCCCGAACCTTCCAATGTTGACCCATCACATGATGTTTCTTGGCGCGTAACGTCATTTGCTATAAGCTTGCCTTGCTTTAGTTCTCCTCGTACTTTGTCAACTTCCCCAAACATAACTTCCCATATCTCACTTTAACACCTCTACCAACCAAATCATCAACATGCTTCGCCAATTTGTCCGTCCCGCCGCTACTGCCAACCGGGCAGTCTTCACTCGCTCCTTCTCAGTAGCTGTCCCTCGCATGGGCGAAGGTGACACTGGTGCCCCCCGCTCTAGCGGTGGTGCCTCTTCCGGGTAAGTTAGATGCAGCTTGACTGCGAAATTTATACCCGGAGTTCAATTACATCGAGGAGACAGCCCCATGTCTGCCTTGCCGTAGTTGGATGACATCATATCTGTATAATCGCTAACATGTACCCCTCGACTAGTGATGCGTTCACCAAACGCGAGGCTGCCCAAGAGAGCCTTTACATTCGTGAGAAGGAGCTTGAGAAGTAAGTTTTACAGAGCCGAGAATAATCGAGCTTGAGCGGGAGCTAACTGATTTGATAGGCTTGCTCAGCTTAAGAAGAAGATTGGCGAGCAGCGCAAGCACTTGGATGAGCTTGAGACCCACATGTAAGTGCAAGTCACGAAATACTCTCCTGTTATTTCCCTTTACCTTTGAATATGAATGGTATGACTGACTCGCTTTTCTTTAGCGATGGCTTGAGCCGCAAATAGGCTCCATACACCTATTTTATCTTATGTTTAATATGAAGCGCTACTCCAATCTATTGTGTATAACACTACCTCCACTCCAACGAGTCATCGTGGTTGCCTGCCTTGAGACCATGCCGTTTGCAGCGTCTGTTCCTAAACAAGATATCTCTCTGTCATAACATATGGGGTTTCTCTGCTATTGTGTGTATAGTGCTCAGTAGCTCGCTTGGAAATATCATCGAGAAGACTCGACAACATCAGCTTGTGAATTTGTAGGCTTAATATCTACTACCTATGCATCTGCTCTGTCTTGGTGCAAGCGTAATAGATTTTCTTATTTTTTGGTGGTTAACATTTATGGCCGCTTTAGGAAAACCTCAATTAACCCGAGGAATTTGTTTTACAGTGAATGTTTATCGGCTTATAGATCGTAGGTAAACACTGTATAAGCACTGGTTGCCAACCGTCTCCACCCAAAAATAAAGCGGGACCGCCCAACTGCCCGTATGGGGCTACTTCCTATAATCCATGTTCATGGGAATCTAAATCAAACATTTAAATCTTGGACTAAACCTTCCAAACATACCCCACCATGACTCTCCTTGTCCTACCAAATGAGCTTCTGCTTGCCATAGTAGAGACTCAAGACTCCCAAAACAACATAAATGCATTTGCAAGAACTAGTCGCCGCTGCTACATTCTCCTGAACCCCTTCCTCTATGCCTACAACGTCCGAAAGCACCAAGGGAGCGCACTCCATTGGGCAGCAACCAAAGGACAACTAAGAACAGCCCAAGAATCACTTCAACAAGGAGCGGAAATCGAATCGAAGGACAGGGAAACAGGAAGATCGCCATTGATACAGTCCGCTCGCTGTGGCCACGCAGACATTGTTGCTTTGCTGTTGGCACATGGAGCCAATCCGCACGCTAAAGACGGCCGGGGGTTTCAAGACGCAATCACATGCGCTGTGATTCGCAACAGAGCGGCCGTTGCTAGCATTTTGCTTGATAGCGGTGTCGATGTGAACTCAACGGGCTCCGGGGGCAGTCTATTGCATCTCGCGGCTCAGAAAAATGTCCACACCTGCGAAGCAGTAGCAAGAGTTCTTATCGAGAAAGGTGTCAAGCTGGAATCTATGAATTCCGCGAAACAGACTCCGTTGCAGCTAGCGTGCCAGTCTGGCTCCGTGGAAGTGGCCCGGTGTCTAATAGAAAACGGCGCCGATTTGGATATACGGAACCGAGAGGGCATGTCGCTCCTGCATCTGTCATGCTTCAATGGAGTCGAAACCGCCGAGTTGTTGTTGGAGAAGGGAGCCGATCTCGAGGCGAAAGACGAGAAAGGTGAGATACCACTGCATGTGGCATGCTGGAATGGCCGGGTAGACAGAGCAGCGTTCTTGCTGGATCGGGGTGCAAACATAGAGGCAAGGTCATCAAAAGGGAACACACCATTGCTGCGGGGGGTACTCTGGGAGACCACTGCATTCAAAACCCTGGATTCGCCCTCGATAACCGCTCTCTTGCTGGAACGAGGTGCCAACCCAAGGCAGGGAAATGATTGTAACATCACACCATTGCATGTTGCGACGTCGAAAGAAAGTTTAGGGCTTTGCAAGATACTGCTACAATATGGTGCCGACCCAGAGGCAAAAACCATACAGGGCATGACGCCGCTGCACAAATTAGCGCAGAATGGCTCTTTGGACTCCGCAAGGCATTTGTTGCAGAAAGGTGCCGATGTACAACCAAGGGACAGAGAAGGCAATACACCATTGCACATGGCAGCGCAGAGAAATGATGTGGAATTCGTCAAGTTGCTACTAGGGTCAGGCGCTGACCGGCTGGTCAAGAACCACAAGGGTCAATTGCCTATACATCTATCATCAGAAGGAACAAAGAAGTCAGAACTAAAACAGAGAAACGTGATGGATCTTCTGGAGGCTCAGTCCGAGCATTAAAATTAGCAATAGTGATCAGAAGGACATATTAATACAATAGAAGAATATGTCAATCCCATTGCACTAGATTCTACAAAGGTTCAAAGTTGTTAATCACAAAGCGCGTGCAAGCATTTTATTGTGACCGACTATTAGCATTCCCTGACTACAGCAGTACATTCCCCCAAAGCACATCGAGGTGCCAAGTAGCCGATAACTCCGAGTTCAAATCATTAGAAAATCCACCCACCCCTTTACCGGCCTTGCATGAACGAGCGGTAGAAATCATCAGCGGTGTTGTTGTTACCCATACCATTGTTCGGATAGCCGTATCCGAGACGGGCAGAGATCGTTTGGCCTGCTTTTTGGGCGGTGGCAACCTTAGACTGCAGGTCTGAGGTGCCTTGGTCGATGACCTGCAGCTGAGACAGGTGTGCGTTGAGAATGCGGACAATCTGCGAGATCTATAGAGATACGTGAGTAAAATTGTTCCCAAGAAAACGCAGATCGGTACTGGTTTGTGACATACCGGCTCATCTGCCTTATTGGTCTTGGTCAATGTGGATGAGGCACCGTTGACCTCCTCAATCATGCTGGTAAGATCCTTGCCCATTTCGTCCAAGCGTTCCGAGAGCTTCTCGGCCAGTTTGTAACTAATGGCCATATTAGAAAATCTCATAAATATCAGATGTTGCACTGCAGGTTGTACTTACGTTGTCTCACGCTCTTGGTCAGGTCCTTGAAGAGAATCTCCAGGGCCCACCTGCTTGGTAACCATCTCATCAACTTCGCGCTCATATCGATCCAGCCATGAGCTGAGCTCATCCTGTTGGCCTTCGACTGCTGACAATTGGCGCTCAACCTCCTGGGTAGCTCGATCCGCATCAACAGTGCTACCGTACAGCTTCTGAACTTTGGTACCATTATCCACCAGCAAACGGTCCCACTCGGAAACCTTCTCCGCCTGCTCGCGGAAGTCCTTTTGATATTTGCCGAGATCTGTGGCCCATCGGGTGATGATCTCATCCATGGTTTTGTTCTTTAGGCGTGACTGGGCTGGAGGAGCGGGTCCCGTGGTAGACTGGCCAAGGGCGGAGGGCCCAGCTGGAGCAGCGCCGGCAGCGGTTGTAGTCGAAGCAGGAGCCGGAGCAGCGGTCGTTTGACTACCAAGGCCACCAAGGGGTGCCGAACTGGTGGATGTCGCTGGCTGAGTCGAAGGCTTAGCAGCAGCTTGGCCGAACAGGCCGCCTGTAGGTGCAGCAGGTGTAGTAGTAGCAGGCGCGGCAGTGGCCGCAGTACCTGGAGTAGTTGTGGGAGCTGAGGCCCCAAACAGGCCTCCTCCAAGAGGAGTCGTCGTCGGAGTAGTTGAGGGGGCAGCTGTGGATGTGGCAGTTCCGGTGGAAGGGAAAAGAGACTTTTGAGGGGTAGCACTCGACGTGGCGGGGGCTCCTAGTGAGAGAGTTGTGTTTGCGGTGGAAGCAGGAGGAGCGCCGAGGGCCGGGAATGCAGACTTCGGAGCGGAGTCGCCGCTGGGAGCTGTCATATTTTTGAACAGAGACGATGTCTGCGAGCTTTGCGCACCACCTGCGGGTGCAGCTGCGCCGAAGAGTGGCTTAGAAGTGGTATCTGCAGCAGGCTTAGGAGCGGCTGACTCGGCCGGCTTGTTTGCACCGAATAGACCTCCGCTGGGCGCAGCAGCTGGTGTGCCACCTCCAAACAGCGACCCAGGTGCTCCCCCTCCAAACATATTGTTAGATGGCGGCGCCTGTGAGGTAGTAGGCGTGGTAGATGACGGCGCTGCAGCGGGGGTAGTCGATACCCCAGGTTTCGCACCCCCGAATAAGCTGCTGGGTGGGTTGGATGCTGGCGGGGGGCCAGCAGGGGTGGTAGAGTTGTTGCCAAACAGAGCGTTTCCCGCGGGAGCAGGGGTAGCTGTTGGGGCCGCGTTGCCGAACATGCTCTTTGTGCCTGCGCCACCGAACAGTGAATTGCCAGTCTGGGCAGGTGTGGTCGATTCCGTAGGCTTGTTGGGAGTCTGGCTGCCGGCAGCGGCGCCGAAGAGTGAGTTGGGCTGCGTGCCAGTTCCGGATGGAGCCTTGCCGCCGAAGCTAAAGGCGGATGTACCGCCGTTGGTCGCATTGGAAGCGCCTGCATTGCCGAAGGTTGGTGTGCTTTGGCCAGTCGCGGAATTTCCTCCAAACAGCGACGGCGATGCGTTGTTGCCGGTGGACGAAGCTCCAGCATTACCGAAGAGTCCACCACTAGGCGCCTTGTTATCCTTGTTGGCGCCGAAAGCACTGCCCGCTGTGCCAAAAAGATTTCCACTAGAGCCACCGGTAGAGGCCGGGGTGCCGAAAGAGAACGACATGGTGTTGGTGATCGAGCTGGAGGATTGATGAGGGAAAAAAGCTGGATGGAAAGAAAGCACCAGCGACACACGGAGCAGGGAGGTGGCCTGCAGAATGGATCAAATGATCCAACAATGAGAGAATGGAGCTCTTGATCGAATGGTTTAGACAATGGGCCTAAGAGTGGAATGAGAAAGATAGGACAAGCAAGTCGAGACAATAGATAATAATAATTGGAAGGAGTTTGGCAAGCACGCGCTGAAAATTTGATGCCTGGAATAAAAGGCAATAATAATGCCTGAATAAAGTGGCCAGATTATTGATATCTGGTGCCTAAGGCAAATGTGTTCTGGACTCACATCGATCGCAGGGAAACAAGCCGTCACTGCACACTACACACGGCCCCATTGCATTTTGATTTATTCAATCTCTGTGTGCCCCTTCTTTCATGTTAACACCCTGATTTCAAGCTGCAATCATGTCGGAGGGGCCGTCCGATTTGTCTAGCTCGCATCTAGAGCCCCCCAGCAGGACTACGGAGATTCAAGATCCAGGAGCTGGCGACCATAGTACATGACCCTTGGATATACTTTAAATATTTGTTTGAAACTAACATATTTTTAGCAGCTTCTGAAAGCGATGATGAGCACTTCTCAGATGCTAGTGAAGGCAATCCCCAACTCCAGTCATTCCCACGATCCGGTCGCACTTCCCCTGTCCCCCGAACGCGAGTCGAGAGGGTTGACAGCAGCACTCGACATGGCGAGATCCCTGGCACAGCAGCATTCGAAAAGAGAGAACAGGATGCAGTTCCCGATGAGATCGAGGTTATTCCAGAAGGCTCTCACAGCCAGATGTGTTCGCCCGCGGGGTCAGAGGACCAAACCCTGAGTCTTGAAGACTTGCCGATTCCGCGGACAGTGGTTGAGAAGGTGGACCCAGATGAGCTTAGCTATGGCGAAGTCCCCGGCACTTTAGCACATGAGCAGCGCCTCGCCGATGCTGTGCCCGACGTAGTGATCAAGGCGTCGGATTCCGAGGGCAGCCCGACGCCGCCAGCACTTGACCCTACACCTACTGAGCTTGATGGCTCTGCCACGAATATTCCTGAGACACGACTCGAGCGGGTGGATACAATACCCACTGGGGAAGACGTGCCGTCACACTCACAAGCTCATACAAGCTCAACAAGTGACACATTACCCGACACGGTAGAAACCGTCCCGGATGTCTCAATATATGATACAGACCTGGAAAACAAAGACCTCTCATTGGAGGATGAAATGAACGACCACCACGGATATGAAAAGCAAGAAGCGGGGGATGATTTTGATGAATTTGTAGAAGAGCAGGAAGACATGGGGGATGATGATTTCGGAGATTTCGACGACGGCTTCCAAGAGCCTAGTGCAGAGGAAGCTCCCACAGACGAAACTGCGGCATTTCAGCAAGCTCCCGCACCTCCACCCCTTATTGACTTCGACACATTCAAATCCACCTCCGAACTCCTCGATTCCCTCCAAGACACCCTCAACCTCCTCTTCCCCGCATCCCAAGACCTAAGCTCTCTCACCCCCGTCGAGCCTATCCCAGACTCTGCAGCAATCTTCAGCACCGAGCGATCCCTCTCGCTATGGTCTCAGCTCGTGGCGCCGCCACCCCTCCAGCCCCAAAATTGGGTAAAATCCCGCATCCGCCGATTATTCCTCGTATCTCTGGGCGTGCCTGTTGATCTGGATGAGATCCTTCCGGCCTCCAAACAAAAAAAGCTCGTTCTCCCTTCTATTGATCTTGAAGGCACCGGCGCAAAGAGCCCCGGCGCTCGCTCTGCTAGTCAAGTCCGTAAAGAAGAAGGCAACGAAAACAACACCGAAAAGGGGCAAGCGCCCTCCCGACAAAAGACTACTCCCCGTCGCGGTGCACCGCCGGCACCGGAAATAGACCTCTCAGCAGTCCGCCGGCTATGCGCCACTACTGATGCTGCACTGGATGGTCTCACGGATTCAGAGTTGAAACTGCATGTCCAGGAATTAAACCAAGTTACCCAACGCGCTAGTTCAGTATTGGAGCACTGGCTGAAGCGGCGGGATGGCTTGGTTGGCGAAAAAGAGGCTTTCGAAGGTGTCATTGAGAACCTCGTTAGTCACGTTAGGAGAGTCAGAAAGTAGTCTTTCCGTACTCCGGGCACTTGGTGTACTATCTAAATGCCCAATATAATACATTTTGTATAATCTAATATCGATATCAGTAAGTGTATTCTTAGTCTACACTACCGGACCTCGGGAGGCAAGATGGTTGAGTTGCATTCAGCACGGAGCTTTGATTTCATTCTTAAGTTTTTTTTTTCCATTCTGTTCGTGACCCTTGAGATAGACAAAGAGAAAGGCTGAACGTAGCCACAAGACCTAATCCACCCAACGCCAGCAATGACAGATCGTGAGAAAACATAGAAGAGCTGCATTTGAAGAGCACGCAATAAGGGGTATCTTTCTTTTCAAATGCATGCAAAGATAAACGAGAGACATTGGAAGGTTAAAGCCGTTAGAAGAGAATAAGGTACGAACTTTTGTTGGAAACCCCGACTCATTAGTCCAGTTCAATGACCGTGGGGTTGGGTTCTCGCATGCGAACAGCCGGGCTGCGACTAGCCTTGAACACATCAATTCTCGGGCG